GGATGCGTGATATACTTAGGTGTACAGAGTAATTGAGCTCAGCCAACTTGCTAATTAAGCGATAGTTTTCGAATCAATCTTATTTTTGCCTTACATTGCACAAGTACGTTTACAATGTAAACCTTCCATTCATGCACGAAGTCCAGAGCATATGAAGTAACGATAATATTTAACAATAGCAAAAATTAACCTTTGTAATAATCACAATGTATTATATTCTACTTAAGTTGGCAGTTTATATACACTTGTGCACAATATGCATAAATTTTCTATGAAAACTTTTTAATCACTGCTCGTTTCACTGTGCTTAGTCGATTTGAATAATTCTATGAGCTACCAGTCTTACTCTGGTAACTTACTTCTAGCGTTCTTAGGAACACTAACGATATAGTATACAATCCGGGCATCAAGGAAGACGCATCAATGCTCTAGTTCCTAATGAAATATGAAAATAGATTTCACACTATTACTTTTCTCTGAGTAGCTCATGTTCTTTTTATTACCCTTAACCACTCTTCCCTTTGACGCCTTAAATTGTTTACCTGACTGGAATCCATGCTATACAAGCAAATCAAGGTATGGATAATGCAGAATGTACTCTTTCAGCTGAACCACACACAAAGAGATTTTTTATCGTTTATTTAAAGATAATCGAAAGCCAGGACAAGTTGAATGAACGTGTCACGACGTAGGCGAAGCTTCAAAGTTCGCCCTAAAGTGGCATTGAGGCATAAGCAGTACATACATCGCCCGGAACACAATGTGATTTGCTAAAGATCGCTACCTGATGTCTGATGATGATTATCGATTAGAACAGAACTGATCGATAGCTTAACTCGGAAACAAAACATGTGGCAGAATAGCTTAAATGAAGGGTGCAGCCACATATGCAACCCGGGATGGTATATAATCCACAAGGGAATACTTCAAAGATGGCAGTGAAGTAAGGGCAGGTTGGGAAACTTAGTGAACGTGAGCCTAATAACCAGGAGCTGTGCGAGGTGGAGGACAGTGGTCGCAGCCGCCGCTTGGTCCACGATCGCCATCAGGTCCAGCAGGACCAGCTGGTCCCGGTTGTCCAGGTGCTCCGGGAGCACCATCATCTCCAGGTTGTCCAGGTGCGCCATCTTGTCCGGGGTTGCCATTAGCTCCAGGCTGTCCATCAGGTCCAGGAGGTCCTTGGGGTCCAGGTGGTCCAGGGGGTCCGTCGGGTCCTGGCACTTCGTTGAGTTTTCCGGGTGCACCAGGTGCACCAGCATTTCCAGGAGCTCCATCAGGTCCTGGAGGGCCAGGTGGTCCAGGAGGTCCAGGTGGTCCACGGCTACCTCCATCAGCATCGGCTCCGGGTGCTCCAGGTGGTCCAGGTGGTCCCTTAGGGCCCGGGTTTCCAGGAGCTCCTGGGGGACCATCAGGGCAGTCAAAGCAGAACTCGTGTTGTGGTGGTGGAGTAGGGAGTGGTCCATCAGGGCCGTCTTTACCAGGAGCGCCAGGTGCACCATCTGCTCCGTTTTCGCCATCAGGACCTGGTGGTCCGGGTGGTCCTTGCGGAGATACTCCGCAACCGCAGCATACTCCTTGTGGTGCTGCTGTGACGGCGGGACTTTCCTCTACTCCCATGGAAGTGTAACCAGCTTGACGACGTTCCCTTCGAACACCGGATACCTTGGACAAGACCTAAATGAGAATATGTACTGCAGAGATATGGAATCTTTTAGAATAGGAATCTGTGAGATTTTCGACTGCGACCACTTGGATTAGATGAATTACTCCAGCGTTTTCCAAAAAGCATTTCTCACTGATTTCAAGTTCTATCTTGAACAAGTGCTGTCCATGATCTGGATTTTTTAATATAGAAACGACAACAAAATTGCAGGAAGTCGTTTTTGTTTTGATTCACGAAAACGTAAGAAATCGCACTGAACTTTTCCCATTTACACTTCCGTCACATTAGAAATTCCCTTGGCTATGATCAAGATTCTAAGCGATTAGTATTAGCCGGTCCACAAGTTCTTATGCATCATAGCCAGTTTGGTGCCGGATCAGCTCAAATCTGAATCAAAACACAGGATGGTAGTATCTGTAATGCCGATGAGATGCTGTTAGAGATGATGGAT